TTAAAAGTTAGAAGCATTTTATTCTGTGATGATCAAGCAAGAAGAGAGACAAATTTCCAGTGTAAGATTTGTCCTACTCATCTTATATGTATATGAATGGAATATGATACACAAGATCAACAAGGAAAGGGGGCGTTCAGTGAACGTAACCCCCACACAACCCAGCAGTAAGAACCAGTGGCAAGATGCCAAGGACAATCCCAAACAAAAACAGGGCAGGGCACAAGGCAGAGCATGGATAGGCTAATCACATAATCACTGATACTCAGGGGCACATGGGAAGGGGATACAAAATTGGGGGAAGTTTGGTGTTCATTAATCAACAGTACTTGAACAGAAAAATCAGAATATAAATTCAAACTTACAATAACTATTCACAGTCATTGGCCAAAGGCAGATTTGACATGAATTAGCTGAATTAATTCACACAAATCATTAGCTGTAATTTTAATAAAACATACTCCAATCGTCAAAATTATGACATTATGATGCACTTTATTGGTTCGTCATTGTTTAAATTTTTTGTTTGCATATATATATTTGGGATAATTTGTCAGAAAACGAAACAATTCCAAAATTACTGTAATATATTACTATCCCTATAAATCAAAAAATAATTTGGCAATATATTTAGTTTCATTTAGTTTCTTTCCTTACAGACAGATTCTTGTTTAAGGATAATAGCTCATACGTTTTCAGCCACACTCAGACCTATTATAAATTTGTTCTTTTGTGATGATCTAAGTATTGTTTCAAGTGAAGAAAATATCTCGGCTCCCATGTCACGTACATACATCACGAAAGCGACATGTTTTATTCGAAAGCGAGAGAATATTTGACTGGAATTACTTCATGTAACCCACGATCTAATAAACAAGAAAATTCAATAATGAAGCCATTACGTACTGATCATTATTTCCAAACATTGGCCGCACATTTCACTCATCTATTCTAACCAGTTTAAAAACAGGAGACAAATATTGATAGAATCTCCTCTATCATAATGATTTAGTGCTTGCACTTCAATATAGATACCATAAAACAGGGAAAATATTTAAGTTGATCAATTTCTTTGTTAAGATTCCATCAAAATATATTCAGAAAACAAAATGTTGTTTCCTTTAATTTGCTCTTGTACAAAGTAAATCTTAAGGATTTTTTTGTCTGATGGGTTTGGGTTTTGAGTCTTATGGTACTGTAAAGGTTGTACAGTGAAATGCCAATCAGCACATGAAGACACCACTGACTTTCTGTCAGCTAGTTTGACAGCAGAATAGCTTCCTCAAATGAAAGAATCCTAGGTTTCACATCAGATTCAAACCCACAATGGTGAGTGGCAAATAGTTTAAAATCACAACCTTAACTACTTGGCTACATAAGCATCCAAATCTTTAGAAATAGTTGCTTTAAATCTAATTATTTCAGCTTCATTCTAAAGGACACAATTCCTCGATTTTAATAATTCTATAGGACACAATTTCCTGATTTTAATAATGTTCAAGTCCAGAGCCTGAAAAGTAGTATTCACGTCAATAAATTATGACAAAACAGGGTCACAGTTGTAATGGAACTGAATGAGCATGACATTCTTAATGGAGGACAAACATTCCCCTTTCCCCATCTTAAATAGACACCATTTCTGTCTTAATGAAATCCTAATAACAAATAAACCTCTGTATTTCATTAGAAAGTATGTCTTTTATCACTAATAATGAGCTTCTTATTTCATTAAATCATCTCTGCTCAACATATATTTTCATGCTTTTATCAGCAAAATGTATTAATTCTTGACATTTATTCTTCATATTATATAATTTACAGCCTAAATTCTGCATTTTATAATATGCACTTGGCATTAGATTAACTTGTGAGTAGAAAACCATAGCTGTATACCTCCCTGACTTCCCATGCATCAAAGCATTGTCCTGAAACATGCTTATATTGGTTGATTAACTTAATTTAAAGAATACAAGCACATGCCCAGAATTTGAATTCAAGTGCCAAGAAAAAAGAACAATACAGGCTACACCATTAATTTAATATAGAAACTGTGAGACTATGTCTTGATAAACCTCGGAGATGTAAAAAAAAAACTGCCAGTGATCTATAAAAGTAATTTCTTTAGTTTCTAAATACGCCAGAAAGATTTGTGGAGTTCACTATTAAATTATGATAAAGAATGTGATCTTTCTCCTATAGGGTGTTTTATCTTCTTGACTATTACTTTATTGATGCCATCTCTACCAATCTTCTCAATTAGGAGACAAGATGTGTTCCTCCCATCACCAGAAAAGTAAGAAACTGAGATTTTTTGTTTAATTATAGACGCTATCTTGTGAAACCTTTTCTTATATCAATCTGTTAAGTATGGTACATCAATAAGAGAGACAAAGCCATGTAGACAGACAATACCTATTGATAGAATAGAATAGAATAGAACATTGGTTGATGAAGTGAGATTCAAAATTAGTATGATTCACAACTTAAGCAGTTACATGACACATACTATAAAGGCTCAATTACAGAGCTGAATCCATACTAGTAACTTGAGAAAAAACCTAGCCTTGACAAACATAATTTCTATTTTAAAAGAATGCAATCAGGAAGTAAAACCAAACCCATGCAGCCTAGTAAATAACCATTCCTCTATAAATCTGTATCTAGAACCTCACAAATTAAAGTGACACAGACTCCAGGAGAATACTTTAAAATTCTGTAAATTAACACAGTGCTTATTGGACAACCGACTGTATTATATATACCACTACAGCACATCATGAACAGACTCAATAAAACAACTTTTGTATTTTTCTAATTTGTATTGCATTATCCTTGCTCCCATCTAATCTTGTGACTTTCAGACTTTGAATCAAATGGAACCAATTGTTTTTGCATTGCCTTTCATACCACGGAGAGAGAAAAAGAAAACCCTTGGCACTACTAAAATCCAAATTCAAAAATCAGACTAACTAACAGACCTTACTATCAAACAGTCAATATCAATAGAAACAAAAAATGTACATCTTCATTTGTTCATAATTTTGACATTATGATTGAACAAGATATTGAGACAAGTTATGATTGGATGGATCAATCTGAACGTTACAGACATTTTGGCCTTTGTTCAATATGTTTAATAGTCTCAAGCAATCTAGAAAGTAACCAATGAACTGACCATTCCCCCTACGCTTTCCGTGTTACATGATGTAATGCAAGTACAAAAACAGATGATAATTCAGAAAATGGGAAATTGTATTAACTCAAGAGGACATTTTTATATTTAAAATAGACCATTGTCTGGCAAAAGTGAAAAGTGAATCCCAAAAATCAATGAAATGCATTACATAAATCTTAGACACAACCTAGTCCAGGAACGTTTGGTTCGAACAAGCACATCTTAAAACTAGACCTGAATGCTGGACAAGCAAAAAAAGTAAAATTGCCATGTCAGTTAACTGAATTACAAGCTATTTACAGTTTCTAGATATTGATGTAACCTAAAATAAACTGGTTAGTTTTACCATTTATACAGGATAAATTAGCTGAGAAAAGGTTAAATGTTGCAACTTTCCACAATAAATTCAAAGGAACACCCCAACATTTGACAGACTGACAATAACAGCTTCTTTGAAGAAATTCTAAGCAATTATCCAGAAAATGTTGGACAAAATCTAGATCAAACTTTTATGTTGATTGTCCATTACTTTATGTTTCTGTCGTTAATCACACACACTTTTTTTGTTTGTTACTCCATTCTGTAGCGCTGATATTACCATAATTGTCATTTGGTGAAGTTGGAAGCACAGAACATTTGGACCATCACCAATGAGAGTTAATGTAAATTGTCAGTGTACTGGTCAATATGTCTCTATTATACACATAATGAAGCTACTAAATAAGGTGTTAACTCAACACCAGCATGCCAATCTCTCATCAACAAGACAGCTTTTCAATACTAGTACCTAGCACAACCAAACACATACTTCATCAATATAAAATACCTTCTTGCATGTTGATACATTACACTGAGTATAACCAGCATTAACTTTCTAATGAAAGCCAACATACCATCAGCACAAACTAATTCTGACAGATACTCTTCTCCCCAACTAATATCATGTTTATATCACCATTTTTTTCTGCAACTTCAGCTACACAGCGAAGCATGGAAAATGGGCAGCCTGGAGGACACTTAATCCATTAATCCAGATTTTCCTCATTTCAACTTCAGAAAGACTACTCTTTTTATTTAATAGTAACATTTACCTTTCTCTGTTCTTTCAAATGAAGCTTGTACAGCATTTACTTCAGGTAAGGAACTCACTTCACCAAAACTTCTGAAATGCTTAACTCTACCATTAAAACCTGTGAAATACTCAACTTACTTTAACAAAACCTCTGCAATACTGAACTAACTCTAACAAAACCTCTGCAACTTAACAAAACCTCTGCAATACTGGACTAACTCTAACAAAACCTCTGCAATACTGAACTTACTCTAACAAAACCTCTGCAATACTGAACTTACTCTAACAAAACCTCTGCAATACTGAACTTACTCTAACACAATGTCTTGCAATACTGGACTAACTATAACAAAACCTCTGCAATACTGAACAAACTTAACAAAACCTCTGCAATACTGAACTCTCTCTTACAAAACATTTGCAATACTGGACTAACTCTAACAAAACCTCTGCAATACGGAACAAACTTAACAAAACCTCTGCAATACTGAACAAACTTAACAAAACATCTGTAATACTGAACTTACTCTAACAAAACCTCAGCAATACTGAACTTACTCTTAACAAAACCACCTCTGCAAGTTACTCACCAAAATCTACCAAATTATCAAAACATCTGTATAAGATACTTAACAAAAACATTTCATGGTGAACATTGCAATATTGTTGAATTGTGTAAAAATAAACACCTTACTCTATTCATAGTTTATTTGTGGTGTAAAAATACTATATTGTGTAGAAAAGCATACTCACCCCAGGCATAGTTTTGATATTGTGTAAGGCATTCTGGGCATCTAGTGCAGATTTTCTTGTGTAAAATGTAACAAAACAGCATCCTGAAAATACAACACAAATTATATTGATGGAGATACCACAATTTACCAATAAAATGTCACACTGCAGGATTCTATATACTAGTAAATTTAAGAAATTCCTAAATATAGACTTTAAGACTACGTTCTAAAATATCCTTAAAATACAAAAGTTGAATGACTTAGCAACATTAGGCAACATACTGACTTCACTTAAAAAGAAAAAGAAGTTAATATTGTATAACTTTAAATAATAGCGGGTTTTTGAGGGGTTTGTTTTTCTTTCTTTTTTTTTTTTCTTTTTTGCAAAAATTTATGATAATATAGATTGCATGATTAATGAACATTTAGGCAAGCCTGTTAGCAGTATAGCAAAACCATCAGTCCTAGCAGAATATAGATAGGAATCTGCTTAATAACTTTTATAGGCCAGCCAATGGCACAATGTTAGACCAACTTACACATCCTTCCGGTCTGACCAAACTCATTTTGATACAAAGTAATGCCTTTCATTTGACAATGAGTTTAAGTTACAAATTCATTGCATGACAGTTATAAAATAGTACCCAGTTACCAATTCACTGAGACAATGGAATATCTATAAATTAAGTAGCAATGGTGTTATTCCAATGTGTTCAACATCAGTTTTAAATCAGTGTATGGACATTGGGCAAACATGTGGCATTGTGGATCATAGCTCAGTACATAAATGCATCATAATATAAATGTCAAAGTTGATTATACATGTATCATCTTTAACACCCAAAATGCCAAAAATATGTTGTAAGTTATGTCTTCTTAAGAAAAAACAGACCTTTTGCTAAAATGAATGAAATGCCAGACTCCCTATTAATGCTAAAAAAATCCCAAACACTTTTCAAAGACAGACAGCTTTTAACAAAATAGGCAGACAAAAAAGCAACAAAAGACAATATGCTGCAAGAAACTAGGCTTAAAAGTTTCTGAAAATCTGTTTTCTATAGACTGCCAATTGAGACTAGCAGAATTTCACAACCAACTATCAAATAATTGTATCAGAAGATAAAATTACCAGGACACATTTACAATGGCAGTATTCCCCCAGTCAGTGTGAGAAACAGGTCTTATTTGCAAAGCTGTTCAATGCATCTTGTGCAAACTTAATCAATGATTTACAGTTCTTGTGTTTTATTTCTGGATTTATGAAGCACACACTGTCATACATTGTAAATGTATCAAAAGTAATTTCTTTGCATTTTATGCAAGAAAACTCACAAATTTTAAGATATCTATTTTTAAATTAATCCCAATTCTATTACCATTGTTTAGAGTGCATCAGTATAATAAATACAAATATGGGAATATCTTTACTAATAAATTACAAACTTTGTTGACCCTTTGAACTTTGACTTGCCAAAATTGCTTCTGTGTTGCCCTTTGTGGCATGCTTAAGTTTTAGTATTTTGATGAAACAATACAATCCCTTGAATTAACAGAATATACTGTTTTATAATAAAAACTGGACAAGTCTATTTCAAATTTACATCAGGAAGAAGATTAAGGATAAGGTGATTCCATCCTGATTTAAATCTTTATATCAATTCATACCCTCATTCTGTGTCATAAAAACTCACAATCCAAGATTGTTTTTAACACCTTTTATATCCCTTTGTTAACTTATTCACGAGTTCTTACCAGTACATTTAAATATTTGGCCAATACCAAGTAAAATTAGTGTGGGGATAATTGGAAAACAACTACCGGGTTACTATCTACAATAAATACTCCATTAACATAACTTAATTGGTCTGGAATTTCTGCTAATGTGACAGCATGTGTACATTGTCAGCCTGACTTACTGACAATCTCAAAGCTTTTCTGTAACACTGCCATGTTACATTGTCTTAACTTTACTCAGATTAGTCTTGTTATGAACACTGTTTTTCCCTTAAATTATTATGGCTTTTTTGTATGCAATGCCATTTCTATATATTACATTTGTACAAATTCAATACTTGGGCTAATACAGGTTACAGATAAACAGACAATAATCTGGCAGCCAAATTGACTATGTAAACAGTTTTTGTCATGTTATATATAAAGGATGAACATCTTCTGTGACAGGGTACTGTCAGATAAAGTCTCAATCAATCTCAATCCTAGAACTTCAATGTCATTTATTCTGTGATTAAATTCTGTTCAAGTACCAAAAAAATAGATATTTTATCATATAAAGGCAATCACAATCTATTATTTTCTAATTCTTAAACCATGCAGGGCCTGCAGTGTCACATTAAGTAAACAAAAAATAAACCACAAACATAATTTCAGATAGTTATACATATAACACTAAATTTAACACTAAGATAGATTTTCGTGTTTTTTTTTATGACAGATTTTACAATTGTAATATACTGTGCTGACCATAATTGATAATAATCTTTTAGTTGAGACATAAAATAAAGGTACTTGATTAATGTTTTATCCATGACCTCTTAAATAGACATTTGATACATCAAAATTGCACTGTAACCCTCCAACAACTTATGACAAATTCTTCTTATGACAAATTCTTCTTAAGAAATCGTCCATGTCCCGATATCAGTTAATTAATTACCATGGTTATAAATCTACAGTTAGACCTATTTCTTCTTCTGAATCTTTTACTCAATCATGTGTGAAATAATGTTTGTAAATTCATGTTATAAAAGTGGGTGCAGAATCTATTTTACAGACGGCATTAAGCGAAAAACCTGCAACAACTGCAGACCCACCTTCAGTATTTATACTTCCTGACATTAGCATGGCAACATGATGGCATCTTTAATGATTGCCATCTAGTCAATAAACAAGCACAGTATCTTCCTTACTGATTCATCTGTTATATACTCTACAGCAGCGATCACTACTGTTAAATACATTATCTCTTTCTGTTATTTAATGTTATCAAAATAAATCAGTTTTTATAACTCAAAAAATAAGGTATTCATTCATAAATAACTCATGTAAAGTTTGGCATGCCACACCTTCAAGATACTTTATAGTAATCCAGTTACCAGAAAGATGACTGAGCTATGTAACAAAGCCCTTATACAGTCAAACCTGTGAACAAAGGTCATACAAGGGAGAGACCAAACATGACCTTTATAGACAAGTGGTCTTTATTTGGAGGTCATTTTGTTCTTTTTAATAGGTGAAGGATTGTCATAAAGTGGCCTTTATTTATAGGGTGATCTTTATTCTGAGGTAGTCTTTAACACAGGTTAGACTGTACAAGCTGCCTCCAGAGTTTTTCTTAAACACATATTGGTTCTATAATTCATGGGTATATTTCCACAAGAAACTGATATAGACAAGTAATTAAAAAATAACCCAAAGCCATCATGAATAACTTATTAACATTTAACTCTGACCTGTCTATAGAGACCAGACTTTAACTTTAACACCAAGTCTAAAATTGTCTTCTATTATTTTGTTGGTTGTTTTCACTGTCTTTGAGGGATTGCCCTTTCTCGGGATGTCAGGTGCTGAGTGACAGCTGAAGAAGTTCTTTCTGCACTTTCAGTTTTAGTTGCTTTATTTTTGTCCATTCCTTTAGGGATCACTCAATCCATTATTTATTTTAGCATTTAGCAGTATTAAAGATAGAACACTGCTTTGGACATTTCACCAGTGGTGAAACAGTGTTTCAATAGTGTTGCTGTTGGCGTCATTATAATCCCTCTTTCTTAGATTTTTTTATAAAAGACTAATAGTTTCTCATAATCTGTATTTTAGCAGTCTTTATCTGTTCAAGTGGCTAATAGTTCATTGGCAGTCTGGTTTCCTTTTCAAGGTCTTTATCTGGAACTCACCTTTAAACACAGGTTTGACTGTATTATCTTTTTGTGTAAACTAAATAAGACAAAAAACTTAACAATTTCTATGTCAATTTTTTTTTGTAGACATCACTTCATAAAAGCTTAGATGTTTCGAATCAATGTTTTATAACTTGCAACAACATCATTTAATCAATTGATATCACAATATTAGAGTAATGCTACATGGAATTATAAAGATAAATACCTGCAAATTACTTTAAAGATAAGCATTCAGACAATGTCTACTATATTGATACAGGGCTACATTTTGTCTCCTTGCTAAATATGAGACATAACATCTTCCTGACTCAAACATAAACAATGCAAATCTGTCAGCTCACTAATTGGTTTTGATTGAATAAACAATATTTCATATCTTATCGTCTACAAAGTTTTTTGTCCTCATAAATATTGCTCCAACTGTATAAAAACATGCACAACATCAGCTATTTGGTAGAATAACAAGTGGAGATAATAAATTCTTGCTGATTATGTAATCAACTTTATGTACCTATTTAAATTACTTAGTCCTCGCTTTTAGACTTGTCCATTTAGTGTAAAAGATTTCAGATTCTTGTCAGACAGCACAAAGTTGCAGGTTGTCTTTGAGATCTGTTACTATTCTTCTAAGTGGCACTACCTAGATCTCAATAAATTTAGCTTCCATATATTTCACTTTCTCTAAAGAATCATCTTAAGACAGAAGATAATTGCTCCTTTAAAAGATATGGAACGTGACAAAATATGCCTATTTTCTGCAAGGCTCTGAGAGATGGATCTTCTGCATGCCTACGACAGATGGATTTCTGCAAGCCTATGACAGATGGATTTTCTGTAAGCCTATGACAGATGAATATTCTGCAAGCCCATGACAGATGGATTCGTTCTGATTGGACTTTCTGCAAGTTTATAACAACTGGATATTTTACAAGGTTATGACAGATGCAGTGCCTTACATAGCTTGCAGACAGTTCTACCAAGGTAAGTATGTGACTCTTTGTATGATGTTATCTTATCCTTATATAGCCAGAGATAAATGGTGCCACTTAAAGTCATGCTCAGAAAAGTTTTCTGCAAATTTATACATACATGTACTTTGCTGACCAGATACTCTGTACTGCTGACTGCTTGATTTCATGCTTTTATATACAAATCCCTTACATAAATTCTGGTCCTTCATGTAAC